GGGTGTTCAAGAGGTGGCACGCAGGAATTTACATAGCACATCAAAATACTCTAATATGTCTTAAAAATAAAATATGAAGTTTTATTAAACACATATTAAATAACATAAGTACATGTATCCATCCATAAAAGTATGATATGTAGGAATTTTTGTCTACTTTAAAATTGTGAAGCGTTTCACGGTTAACATCTCTTCTTTAAAACATAATGCTCATACATGACATGTTCCCCTGGACTCAATGAATAGTTTTTTTCCTCATTTTTGATGGAAACATAATTAATACACTGCTAGAAAAAACATTTCTCCCTCTACAAGTTAGGGGATTATGTAGTAACATTCAATATAACTCGATGTGTTGGTGGTTGAGCCTGAATATCACTATAAAATGGAAGCCCCATAGGTATGTGAGAGGGATGGAGGATTTATCCCCCCCTCCCTTTCTCTCTTTTTATTTGGTTTTGTTTGTATTGTTTGGTCTGTTTTGTTTTAAATTTTATTACTTTTTGTTTCTTGTTTTTAATTTTTGTTTTTATTTCTGTTATCTGTCTGAGATGATTCACATCCTTTTTCGATGTGTGCCCACTAGACATACACTATATTGCCAAAAGTATTGGGACAGAGTATAGGGGAGGGGCTCTGACGTCACCATGCACTCAAGATCACAGCGGCGAGTATAGACTGTGTGTTCACACACAGAGGAGGCTTTATAAGGCTTGTTTTTACTGACATTATTATAAACCATGGAGAGATAAGGAGAAATGGAGAGATGGAAAGATAGATCTTTATCCTGCAGCAGATAGAGGGAGAGATCCATTCAACCTAATCTGTACTAAGGGAGGAGACCATTAAGAAAACCCTGGTGATAAAATACAGAATTACATCTAATTAGTCTGTAAAAACCAAATACAGAGGAGAAGATCAATCCTATTATATAATACAAAGCTATGGTTGCCTAATCGCAAGTTAGGCTGAGGTGAGCGCATATTGATATTCAAATTCGGAGGGCATGTTTGCAAGAAAAAGCATTTGTTGTAATACATGAATTGACTTTGGACTATTACTATACATATATATTTTTTATATATATATATATATATATATACAGTCAGGTCCATAAATATTGGGACATCGACACAATTCTAACATTTTTGGCTCTATACACCACCACAATGGATTTGAAAAGAAACAAACAAGATGTGCTTTAACTGCAGACTGTCAGCTTTAATTTGAGGATATTTACATCCAAATCAGGTGAACGGTGAAGGAATTAAAACAGTTTGCATATGTGCCTCCCACTTGTTAAGTGACCAAAAGTAATGGGACAATTGGCTTCTCAGCTGTTCCATGGCCAGGTGTGTGTTATTTCCTCATTATCCCAATTACAATGAGCAGATAAAAGTTCCAGAGTTCATTTCAAGTGTGCTTTTTGCATTTGGAATCTGTTGCTGTCAACTCTCAAGATGAGATCCAAAGAGCTGTCACTATCAGTGAAGCAAGCCATCATTAGGCTGAAAAAACAAAACAAACCCATCAGAGAGATAGAAAAAAACATTAGTCATGGCTAAAACAACTGTTTGGAACATTCTTAAAAAGAAGGAACGCACCGGTGAGCTCAGCAACACCAAAAGACCCGGAAGACCAAGGAAAACAACTGTGGTGGATGACCGAAGAATTCTTTCCCTGGTGAAGAAAACACCCTTCACAACAGTTGGCCAGATCAAGAACACTCTCCAGGAGGTAGGTGTATGTGTGTCAAAGTCAACAATCAAGAGGAAACTTCACCAGAGTGAATACAGAGGGTTCACCACAAGATGGAAACCATTGGTGAGCCTCAAAAACAGGAAGGCCAGATTAGAGTTTGCCAAACGACATCTAAAAAAGCCTTCACAGTTCTGGAACAACATCCTATGGACAGATGAGGCCAAGATCAACTTGTATCAGAGTGATGGGAAGAGAAGAGTATGGAGAAGGAAAGGAACTGCTCATGATCCTAAGCATACCACCTCATCAGTGAAGCATGGTGGTGGTAGTGTCATGGGGTGGGCATGTATGCCTGCCAATGGAACTGGTTCTCTTGTATTTATTGATGATGTGACTGCTGACAAAAGCAGCAGGATGAATTCTGAAGTGTTTCGGGCAATATTATCTAATACAAAAAGTTGCAGCGCTTGAGTGTATAATACAGGGAATTGGCATAAATAGCAGAGTTAAACATTCATATTTCAACATGCACCAGATCCCACACTCTTAAATTGATGTAAACAGTAATCAGATAAGTAATGACGATCTATCCGACTAATCAAGGTGCCTATAGTGGTGGGGATGTTAAAGTCATAAGTTCTGTGATGTATCCAAACAAATCCGTGACTTCCGTGATAAGGGAATAACTGTATATTGCACTAACCAGATAGCGCAAGTAAATGCGCATTGGAGTATAATGACCTACTCCTGGTCACAGCCAGATGGTCCTCAGCGTGAAGCCCTCAGGAACACCAGTGCACCACTCTTGCCGTCTCCTCCCACCAGGGGGAGTGCGCTTCTTTCCAGTAACACGAAATCACTTAATATCCTCTATCGCCAGGATTGGTGTGCTTTCATATCAGGAGATCATCTCAGGGGCTCGGCAATAAGACTGCTTGCTGGGGAACTTCAATGTTGTTTACAGCCGGTTCCACCTGTCTGCTGCTGCTCCTCCTCCACCGCGGAATGGAGAGCGTGCTCTTAGGTGTGCTGATCACCTGCTACATCTCAAGCTGCACACTGTATATTGAATCCAGTACACTGTCCTGCACAGGGAGATGATTGATATATGAAAGAACTGGAATCCCAGAATCCCCAATCAGATCTTCTTTCATCAGAATCTTGTCGAAACGAAACCCTGGCTTGTTCAGCAAATTCTCTTCATATCCCCTGATGTCTGTTCCTCTTCTGAAGGAAGGGATATGAAGAGAATTTGCTGAACAAGCCAGGGTTTTGTTTCGGACAAGATTCTGATGAAAGAAGATCTGATTGGGGATTCTGGGATTCCAGTTCTTTCATATATCAATCATCTCCCTGTGCAGGACAGTGTACTGGATTCAATATACAGTGTGCAGCTTGAGATGCAGCAGGTGATCAGCACACCTAAGAGCACGCTCTCCATTCCGCGGTGGAGGAGGAGCAGCAGCAGACAGGTGGAACCGGCTGTAAACAACATTGAAGTTCCCCAGCAAGCAGTCTTATTGCCGAGCCCCTGAGATGATCTCCTGATATGAAAGCACACCAATCCTGGCGATAGAGGATATTAAGTGATTTCGTGTTACTGGAAAGAAGCGCACTCCCCCTGGTGGGAGGAGACGGCAAGAGTGGTGCACTGGTGTTCCTGAGGGCTTCACGCTGAGGACCATCTGGCTGTGACCAGGAGTAGGTCATTATACTCCAATGCGCATTTACTTGCGCTATCTGGTTAGTGCAATATACAGTTATTCCCTTATCACGGAAGTCACGGATTTGTTTGGATACATCACAGAACTTATGACTTTAACATCCCCACCACTATAGGCACCTTGATTAGTCGGATAGATCGTCATTACTTATCTGATTACTGTTTACATCAATTTAAGAGTGTGGGATCTGGTGCATGTTGAAATATGAATGTTTAACTCTGCTATTTATGCCAATTCCCTGTATTATATACTCAAGCGCTGCAACTTTTTGTATTTGATTTTTGATGTAAGGGGTTATACGAGGTTTACCTTTATGCTAGCAGCTTGAATCTTGTCATATCCAGCGCTCGTTCCTTTCTTCATTTATTTTGGGCAATATTATCTGCTCATATTCAGCCAAATTCTTCAGAACTCATTGGACGCCGCTTCACAGTGCAGATGGACAATGACCCAAAGCAGACTGCAAAAGCAACCAAAGAGTTTAAGGGAAAGAAGTGGAATGTTATGCAATGGCCAAGTCAATCACCTGACCTGAATCCGATTGAGCATGCATTTCACTTGCTGAAGACAAAACTGAAGGGAAAATGCCCCAAGAACAAGCAGGAACTGAAGACAGTTGCAGTAGAGGCCTGGCAGAGCATCACCAGGGATGAAACCCAGCGTCTGGTGATGTCTATGCGTTCCAGACTTCAGGCTGTAATTGACTGCAAAGGATTTGCAACCAAGTATTAAAAAGTGAAATTTTGATTTATGATTATTATTCTGTCCCATTACTTTTGGTCCCTTAACAAGTGGGAGGCACATATGCAAACTGTTGTAATTCCTACACCGTTCACCTGATTTGGATGTAAATACCCTCAAATTAAAGCTGACAGTCTGCAGTTAAAGCACATCTTGATCGTTTCATTTCAAATCCATTGTGGTGGTGTATAGAGCCAAAAATGTTAGAATTGTGTCGATGTCCCAATATTTATGGACCTGACTGTATATATATATATATATATATATATATATATATATATATATATATATATATATACACACAGTATATATTTATTTAATACGTTATTTATCTTTTGTTGAATAATATTTTTTTTTTTGAGCAAATCACAATAAGAGTGATATTCAATTTTTGATTAATTCAGTAATTTTAGTAACCAATATTTTATGGAGCGCGACACAATTGCACAATTGGGAATGTTTGACCATTCTTCCAGAAGCTCATTTGTGAGGTCAAGCACTTATGTCAGACGAGAAGGCCTGGCTCGCAGTCTCCGCTTTAATTCATCCCAAAGGTGTTTTTTTAGGTTGAGGTCAGGACTCTGTGAAGGCCAATTACGTTCCTCCACCCCAAAATCGCTCATCCATTACTTTAAGGACCTTGCTTTGTGCACTGGTGCGCAGTTATGTTGGAAAAGGAAGGGGCAATCCCCAAACTGTTCCCACAAAGTTGGAAGCATGAAATTGTCCAAAATGTCTTGGAATGCTGACGTCTTAAGAGATCCCTTCACTGGAACTAAGGGGCCAAGCCCAATACCTGAAAAAACAACCCCGCACCATAATCCCCCCTCCACCAAACTGTACACTTGGCACAATGCAGTCAGGCAAGTACCTTTCTCCTGGCAACCACCAAACCCAGACATGTCCATCGGATTGCCGGACAGAGAAGTGTGATTCATCACTCCAGAGAACACGTCTCCACTACTCTAGAGTTCAGTGGCATGTCCTTTACACCACTGAATCTGACGCTTTGCATTGCACTTTGTGATGTAAAGCTTGGATGCAGTTGCTTGGCCGTAGAAACCCATTCCATGAAGCTCTCTACACACTGTTGTTGTGCTAATCTGAAGGGAACACAAAGTTTGGAGGTCTTTAGCTATTGACTCTGCAGACAGTTGGTGACTTCTGTGCACTATGTGATTCAGCATGCCCTGACCCTGCTCTGTCATTTTATGTGGCCTACCACTTCGTGGCTGAATTGCTGTTGTTCCCAGTTTCTTCCACTTTGTTATAATACTACTAACGGCTGACCATGGAATATTTAGTAGCAAGTAAATTTCACGGATGGACTCATTGCACAGGTGGCAACCTATCATGGTACCACGCTTGAATTCACTGAGCTCCTGAGAGCGACCCATTCTTTCACAAATGTTTGTAGAAGCAGTCTGCATGCTTAGGTGCTTGAGTGTATGCAACTGTGGCCATGGAGGTGATTTGAACACCTGAATCCAATTATTTGGAGGGGTGTCCCAATACTTTTGGCAATATAGTTTCTGTTTTGAACATGTTTTCTGGTCATGTGGTTTTGTTTGTGTAATTGAGCACTAATGTCATGTCTGGGCTGCTATACTGTGATGTCATCACATGGTTAAAACATGATGTCGTTTACAACGTGTTGGCTATTTTTGACTCTTGACTAGGTCCATGTGGCCATGGATGACCACATGGCGAAATGATATATATCTTCACCTTTTTTAGAGATGGCAGGTTTTTTTATTTAATGATAAGATTGGTGGCATGTGTGAGAAGGTTTTCCAATGGAGAGAGGACCACTCCCTTTGAGTCCTCTTGGGTAAACGCTGTCTGTTCCATGGGCAGATACACCGAGATCTGGTTTTGGTAGGTGTTTCCTCGGGATGTCCAGGGACTATTTAATGGGCTGGATTAGTGTTCGTCTTTCTCTTCTTCCATGGCAGCATATACATCAGAGGACTGGTTCTTTGGTAGATAGGATTTCAATTAGTGTATTTTTTGTTTTGTTCTTTAGATTGGCCATCTAATATGATATGAGGGATGTGTACTTTCTTACACTCCGGACCGTTTTTTACTATACCTATCTACATTAGTCCCTGATATATGGCATATCAACTGTGTGTGTGTGCGTTTTTTTTTTTTTTTTTTAAAGAAACCATGAAAGTGGAACTGGAAATATGATAATATACCTGGTGCTACTAATTTTTGTGATTTGATATAGCAGTGATTTAGCTTTTGATTAAGTACTGAATGTGATCTGTCCTCTAATGCTCATTACCAATAATATGTTTGGATATCTAGTGTATACGGCATGCTTTGGAGCTGAGTCTATAGAGGTTTTGATGACCTTGTGGTTTTTATATTTCTAGCTATAGAGAACCTTGTGGTTGGACTCTCTTTCTCCCTATTAATGGTCCCTTTCATACCTTCCCGTATGCAGGTTTGATGTGACTACATCTCGGTACACTTTTGTTTTTTGTAAATGGATATGGGTTTGGATATTGTGTTTTTTTTCTCTTTTCCATCCCTCCTCCTATTCTTCATCTGCTCTTCTCCCCTTAGGGGATAGTTCCATAATTTCTTATGGATGCCTGTCATGTCATGAGCATAATGTTTTGAAGAAGCGGTAATCACTCTGTACAGTGGACAGTAATTCCTACATACTATACTTTTATTGATGGATTCTATGTACTCATGTTTTAATAGATGTTTAATAAAATTTCATACGCAATTCTTAAGACAGTATTTTGATGTGTTATGTAAATACTGGCAGGCCACCTCTTGAACACCCTTTTTTCTACTTTTGTTGTTGTTTAGTTTTTGGGGGTTAGTGACCTCTCCGGTATAACTTTCTTCTTTTTGAATCCCCTGCTGCTTTTGGCAGCCCCACATTCCCCATTTCAGTGCTTTATAAACTATAAAGTGTGCTTGAAAATGCTTATATCTTATGAAATCCATAAACTAAATAAAATGCACACGAAATAAGGAACACAAAGTCACTAAAAATTGTATAATTCACAATCCAAATGATATGTGCGTTGCTGTGCAGAGAAACACTTCAGTGCTATTGCTCCTTTAAATTGCTCACTGGCCAGATAATACTGGCCTCCTATTGCTAAGAAGGTCTAAATGCACTTCAGGAGGATATGAGCTCCTTTATCTCTTTATGGTTAAATTGCTCCTCTCCACCCTCTGAACACAGGGACTATATCATACCAGTAAATATTTTTTTATGCAAACCAACAAGAAAGCTCTCAGAGTAGGTTACCCAAGTAAGTTACCCCACACTTCTATACATCACGCCATAGCATCCATAACATCCATATATGAAACACAGCCCGAAATGAATCGCATCATTTACCAACACTTAATATCAAAATCAAACAATAATGTAATGCAGATACACTCACATTATTCAGTGCCTAAACCTGGTACCCGAAGTAATGAGCCAGCAACTGACAACTGCTCCACGGTGCTCAAGGCGACTTGAGGTGTGGCATGCATAATGTGGCAATTTTTCTGTACTCTTCTTGGTTGTACAGGGGATACACCACGCAGTTGGTTTTTAGTTTAAAAAAAGGGACATACAGAAGATCATGGGTGTTTCTTGATATTTCCTATTTGTACTTGTTCTTGGTTAGGAAATACTAAAGCCATTGGATTAGTACAGTGCTTCTCAAATAGTGGGGCGCGCCCCCCAGGGGGGCGCGAGGCTCCGTCAAGGGGGGCGCGTCGCCGCCCCCCCCTTCCGACAGAAGGGACACTAAGTACAGGGGTGGGCAGAGGGCTGCTGTCTCTTACCTGGCTCCCACGATGATCCATCCAGGAAGCGCTGCTCCTTCCGTCACTCCGGCCACTCCCTCACTCCTGACGCTCGGCTCCGCCTCCTCACCGGTGATTGGCCGCCAGAACTAAAGCTCAGGAAGGTACACAGGCGGCCAATCACGGGCGAGGAGGCGGAGCCGAGCGGACCCGCGAAAATCGAGTGAGGGAAAGGCCGGTAAGTGTGCAGTGCAGAGGTGCTGCTGCAACCACATATGCTGGCTGCAGCAGCACCATACTGCAACAGGGGTCAGCAAGTGTCATTGGTGTCAGTGGGAGGAATAGTGCCGCATCATTGGTGTCACTGATACTAATGATGGGGCATTATTCCTCCCACTGACACAAACGATGGGGCACTATTCCTCCCCCCCCACTGACACCAACGATGCGGCACTATTCCTCTCCCCCACTGACAGGGTACTATTCCTCCCACTGACACATGTTGGGACACTATTCCTCCCACTGACACCAATGTTGGGACACTATTCCTCCCACTGACACCAATGTTGGGACGCTATTCCTCCCACTGACACCAATGATGGGGCGCTATTCCTCCCACTGACACCAATGATGGGGCGCTATTCCTCCCACTGACACCAATGTTGGGACACTATTCCTCCCACTGACACCAATAATGAGGCACTATTCCTCCCACTGACACCAATGATGGGGCGCCAATGATTAGGTCCTAAGTAAATGTTGGTGATCGGTTTGAATTCATTATTATTTATTGATTTTATGTATTTTTTCAGTATCATATGGTTTGACATTAGAGATGAGCGAAGTATTCAAAAAATTCGATTCGACTGATTCGGCGAATTCGTGGAAAAATTTCGATTCGAGTCGAATATATTCGCTGTGAATTTAACTTAAAAAAGGGGTTTTTCTAGGCTTCAGAGAGACTTAATATTAGTGCAGAACACTGTACCTTTAATGTAAATGCCCTTGGAGTCTGCTGGGGAAGAGAAAATAATACTGTCAGTCAGTATGACATGCAGATGAGTGCCGTCGATCTTAGAATCACCGCACACTTCACCTCATTTGGGCAGTCACGGGGCCAAAACCAGAGTGTGGAGCCACTGTGTGTGGCGGTGGAGGCAGCAGCAATGGGGAGGCCATACAGCACCCTATGACCAAAAATGGAAACCACCAGCAGTGTGAGGAGACCTGAAAGTGGCAACATGGCAGAGTGTGGCGATAGAGACAGCAGCAATGGGAGGCCGTACAGGGACCCATGACACACATCTGGACCTGGCAGCAGCATGAGGAGGCGGTACAGGGGCCCATGACAGATTACGGGCCTGGCAGCAGCATGAGGAGTCGGTACGGGGGCCCATGGAGCAGATTACGGGCCTGGCAGCAGCAAAGGGAGGCCGTAACAGGGACCCATGACACACTCTGGACCTGGCAGCAGCATGGGGAGGCGGTACAGGGGCCCATGACAGATTACGGGCCTGGCAGCAGCATGAGGAGTCGGTACGGGGCCCATGACCACTCTGGACCTGGCAGCAGCATGAGGAGGCGGTACAGGGCGCATGGACAGATTACGAGCCTGGCAGCAGCAACTTGGACAGGAGGACGTTCAGCTTCTGCATCCGTCGGATGGGATGCGTGCTCGCAAACTGTTGTCTCTTGGAAACCGGATTCCAAGAAAAGACTGCTGACGGAATCCGTTGAAGAGGAGTAGCAGGAGAAGGAGCATCATGAACGAGCGGAATATGCCAACAAGGCGACAACAGGGGCCCATGACAGATTACGGGCCTGCGAGCAGCATGAGGAGTCGGTACGGGGGCCCATGGGCAGATTAGGGGCCTGGCAGCAGCTATGGGAGGGCCCGTAATCTGCCAGCACCCTTATGACAAAAAATGGAACCCATCCAGCAGCTGTGGAGGAGACCTGAAAGTGGCACATGGCAGAGTGTGGCGATGGAGACAGCAGCAATGGGAGGCCGTACAGGGACCCATGAGAGACTCTGGACCTGGCAGCAGCATGAGGAGGCGGTATAGGGGCCCATGGCAGATTAGGGCCCTGGCAGCAGCTATGGAGGCCCGTAATCTGCCAGCACCCTATGACAAAAAATGCGAACACACCAACAGTGTGAGGAGACCTGAATGAAAGTGGCACATGGCAGAGTGTGGCGATGGGAGACAGCAGCTAATGGGAGGCCGTACAGGGACCCAGAGAGTGACTCTGGACCTGGCAGCAGCATGAGGAGGCGGTATCGGTTATATAGGGGCCTATGCAGATTAGGGGCCTGGCAGCAGCATAGGAGGCCCGTAATCTGCCAGCACCCTGTGTCAAAAAATTCAACACACCAGCAGTGTGTGAGGAGACCTGAAAGTGGCACATGGCAGGAGTGTGGCGATGGAGACAGCAGCAATGGGAGGCCGCTACAGGGACCCATGAGAGACTCTGGACCTGGCAGCAGCAGCATGAGGAGGCAGTATATAGGGGCCTATGGCAGATTAGGGGCCTGGGCAGCAGCTATAGGAGGCCCGTAATCTGCAGCACCCTATGTCAAAAAAATTCTAACACACCAGCAGTGTGTGAGGAGACCCTGAAAGTGGCACATCGGCAGAGTGTGGCGATGGAGACAGCAGCAATGGTAGGCCGTTATTACAGGGGACCCATGAGAGACTCTGGACCCTGGCAGCAGCATGAGGAGGCGGTATAATAGGGGCCCATGGCAGATTAGGGCCTGGCCTGCAGCTACTGGGAGGCCCGTAATCTGCCAGCACCCCTATGTCAAAAAAATTGAACACACCAGCAGTGTGAGGAGACCTGAAAAGTGGCACATGGCCATTAAGAGACTGTGGACCTGGCAGCAGCATGAGGAGGCGGTATGGCTTTATGGGGCCCATGGCAGATTAGGGGCCTGGCAGCAGCAGCAACTGGGAAGGCCCGTAATCTGCCAGCCACCCTATGACCAAAAAATGGAACACACCAGGCAGTGTGTGAGGAGACTGAAAGTGGCACAATGTTTGAGGGGCATGGATTCATGGCGGATTTAGTCAGTTGTGTCAGGAACTTGGTTGGTTTGAAATCCAGACTAATCCACGCCGATTCATTTTCTTTCCCCGCGGGAGTTACAATACCTCCGCCGCACTAAAAAAACGGCTGATTTCCCCGTATTTGGCCCGGGCCCTGAAGGGGTTTTTAAAGGGGGAAAAAACCCGCTGTTGGGGCCAAAAGGGCAAATTTTGTTGCCCAAATAGTCAAGGGGGTTGTTTTACCTCGGTTGGCCCGGGTTGTGTCAAGTTGGCCCAAACCTGTTGTTTGAGGTCCGCCCCAGGTCCCCCTGATGCTGCTGCTGCTGCTTTCTGC